TGCTCTCGTGTGCTCTGGAGTTGCCATGACAAGCATCGTCTCGCTCAAAACCAAACTTCAGCACGGTTCTCCCTCAGGCCACAGCTACATCCCCACTTAGATGTGGGGTGTGTGGCAGAGCAGGGAAAGGTCTCTCCTCTCTGCCGTTCCCTGGATCCAGGGTCTGTCCAGGGCACCCTGCCTTGCTACAGTTCCAGGGTCCAAGCCCAGGTTTCTTTCAGTGCCTCATAACCAAGGGAACCTCTGAACCCAGCTGGAGAGGAGACAGGTTTTCATTGCTAAATTACCACCAAGAAAAGGACTGAGTTACCACTAAGAAAAGGACTGATTTACAACCGTCCAGTTCCCCTTGCATGAATTCCAACCTGCGGCTGAGCCCTGCCTCCAGTCTGGATTCAAGCAGTATCTCCTCAAACCTATCCATGGCTGGCCAGGAGATGAGAGGAAAGGTCTGAGAGGCAGAACTTGCTCCCAGAACGGGTCAGCTGGCTGCAGGAACTAAGCCCGTTACCCAAGAAAACTGGGCAGCCATCTCTAGTTTCTTCTCAGTTTGACAGACGGGACTGTGATCTGGGGGATCACCTGCTCTATCCGAGAGCGCACCTGCAAGGAGCAGAGTGTGTCTGAGCGCTGTGATGCAACTCACTCGGCCTCTGCTCGAGGGGTCTGCAAGCATCCCTTAGCTGAGGCTCCATGGGGCAGTTTCTGGCTCTACAACTCCACCTCTTCCTGAATCCCAGAAACAAGAGAGAGGAAAGAGAAGAGAGACTTTTCCACCATCAGGTGGGATCTGTTCTCCTTTCTCCAGCCAACACACCTCGCGAAGAGTGGCAAGGACAGAGCACAGAGACAGCTCAACCCCTCAGCATCACCAAGGGCCAACCAGGGCCTGGCTGGGACCGGCTCTGCCTTGTGGAAAGAGAGATCTAAAAGCAGAGACCCAAGGGAGTTGTTTCTCCTGACTGTTTTGTCTTCTACTATGAGTGAAGCCTCGTTGCAGCTGATCAACAAAGTGCGAGCCAGGCCCTGCAGGCACATGGAGAGCCGTTCGTCTTTTTCCCTCATCTGTATGAGGTGCCCAGCCAGGACAGCAAGAGCGAACAGTCAGCCCCTGTGGACCGTGTCCCACGCCTGCACAACTCAGCCCTCTCTGAACAGGGGCAAGCTGCACCACTACGAGTTGTATTTCTCAGCCTGAACTAGTACTTTGCACCACGGCAGCTACAGTTGGCAAGGGATGGCCGAAAACCTCAGGTGCAGAACAGAAGGATTTGGGAAATACGCTGTGCTCGCTTGACTAAGGGCTGCCTCCTTCCCCTGCACTCTTCCCCTTCCTGCCCAGACTATTTTTCTCCCCTCAGGGGAGCAAACACTACGTGCTCGTGTTCTAGAAGTGCTGGTGACCCACCAGGTGTGATCAAGCACAGCCACCACCCGAGCAGAGGCATCTGTCAACTAGATTCACTGTCCTCCTCCCTCCCTGAGCTGTGCCTCTATTTTTTAAAGACTGAAGTAATCAGAAGCAGGAAGTTCCATCACTCAGTAAAGGTCACATTCCTTCCCCTTTCAGTCCGGATTTAGCACTAGTTAGAAGCCACAAAACTCAAGAGGATACTAGGCAAGACAACCAAAACTTCTGGAGTGATGCAAGTTAGAGCAAAAGTGGGGTTTGGATTAAACAGCCCACTCCCCTGCATGCCTGTCCTCTCCTGTCTCAGGTCCTATAGCCCTTCCTGGAAAAAGCAAGTAATTCTTTCACTGGCACCTCCAGAATTTGGAGTCCCTAAATTAGGCCTGTGGACGACTGATCAACACAGCAAGTAGCCTCAAAGGGGTTTGTGGGACCCACTTGCATTTTTGGGATGTTGCTTACAAGCTGATTCCCACGGGAACCTGTTGGCCCCTGGGAAATCTGGAGGAGTGACAGGGCTAAAAGCAAAGACTGCGCCTGTCTCATCTTTGGCAACACACATCAGGACTAACTTACCCGCTCACTCAGCAGCCCTAATTTTCCAAATCAGCAAACAGAATTGGTCATGGGATGTCCAGCTTCAGGCATCCGAGACCCAAGAGGTGAGCATCCAAACGTGAGAGCCCTCATTCCCCCCCCACCACCACCCCGAGCGCTCATGGAAAGTGAGATGGAGGCGGAGGAGAGGGGACTCATTAATCTGTTATGAGGAGGGCAGGGGAAGGGAAGGGAAGGGAAGGGAAGGG